GGTAAATTGGCCACCGTTACGGTTATAAAAGCTGACGTTTCGAGCGTTAGCCCTTCGTCGGGGCGAATGACGAAGGGCTAACGCTCGAAACGTCCAACTTTTATAACCGTAACGGTAGCCAATTTACCATTTCAACTTTGTTGATACATTCAAATTATCTCGTTACCCCCACTGACGCAGCCCCAAACAGTTTCTTTAGAAACTATCAGCCTTTTTACTTATTTGATTCACGGTCTTACATTTATGTGTATGCTTCTTTTCGTTCCTTTTCGCATATATTACGAATACCGTAAAATAAAAGTCAACAAGTCGTAACTGAGGTAAACAAAGATTTTATCACCAACTCAGATGTAAGATACTGACTGAGATTAGGTGGAACCGACGCATTTTTGTGCTAAGTGTACCATGGACAAATTTTTCCTCGTGATCGTATTATTTTTCTTGCTTACGCTAACGGTGAAAATCGTGGTCACCGGACTTCTTAATAAATCAATGCTATATGCCCAGTAAACAAGATTTAGCTCAAAAAAGCTGCCCATCAATATTTTTTTTATTTAGGTGTAATTGTCAAGATTGTTTGTACAGGTTCTCGGGTGCTTTTACAGCACTTTCAGTCTGCTCACGTTAGGCACCACACTGTTGGATATCAGATGTAAAATAGAAAGTCATTAGGAGACTGATCATACGCAGTAGGTGTTTCGACGTTTCCATCTTTTCACGGCTCGATTTTTGTTCGGTAAACTGCTACTTCCACAGCTCTTTCCATTTTAGGGCGAACTGAGAGAACCAAAGGTCTAATACGTTTCCTAGCGTTTCCTCGAGTGTGTTTCCTAAAATCAGGTCAAATACGAAAGTATTGGACCATTCGTACTTGACCTGATTTGTTACGTTTTCGATATAAAGTTCTGTCCGTCGACGACTTGCTACTGTCCACTCATTTTCTCCACTGAAGTGAAGTTCTCATATTTTTGTTGCTCGGATTTACGAAAATTTTGCGAGGCGCGCATTTTATGGTTAAGCTGAGTTATCAAAACAAAGAACTTGAAATCGGTTCAATACAACCTTTAGCAAGTGAACTGAAAGCAAACGATCTACCTTCCTCCATGTAAACAGTCCTCCAGAAGTGCATTTACTGCGCCAGTCTCGTCGAATGATCAGATTTTTTCCATAAAAGGTTTGATTCCGGAAAGCGAATTTGTTAGCATACGCTGTATACATAGATTAAAAGCCGTAATAATAAAATATCTTCCTTTTTATCCAGGACCTGAGGATTTTATCTCTTGAAATTCAAAATACTCTTTCCTGATAGACACTTTAAGATCTCCGTTAGGATAAAAAAATGATTAAGCTCTTCATTCAAATTTGAAAACAAAGTACACCTGGTGTACTCAATAAACATATACACTAAAAGGAGGATATTGGAAAAAATAGAAAGCAACTATTAGGCACTCGTGTAATTTGGATTTTTATCAAGGCTGTCAAAGCTGATATTTGTTTACCACTTACCAGTAAATCAGTAATATTCTTTAACCTGTTTGCACACTAGCACGGTCCCTTTTGGTGATTAGTTTTAAGAAAAATCTTATCTCTCGCCATTTTAACCGCAATGAATTAAATTTTGTTTCCTCCTATATGGTGTCAACAGGATAAGGAAAAATAAGATTAGAAATTCCCGAGTCCTGTCCAAGTTGCAATAGCGATCGTCGTGTTCACAAGCTTTTTTCTTTTTTTGAACTGTGTTGAACTACCATACATTGAGCTGCGCACAGAAACTCCAAAGCTCGCAAATGACTTGAGAACTATTCAGAGGTATCAAAAATTGCATCCATGAAAAGATATTTCAACTGCGCTGCGATTTTGGCACCCTAAAGCAAGTTTTAGTTTAGAGTGTAACTTGAACACCAAACTTTAAGTCACACTGGCACTTACAGTGATCTTCGGTTCAAAAAAAATGTGTCCTATTTTCAGCTGACCTGATACAATATCTAACTTTAATGCTGAAATTAAAACCGCACAAATTATGCGACATGCTCTTTTTCAGGTCAGTTTTAATTGGGGCTTACCGTTATCTATTACGTTGAATAGCGAATTCGCAGCAATCAGGCCGAAGCTAGCATGGATCAAATTTTAACGAACACTTTCTAATAATAATACTAATAATAACTAGACGCATAACTGCGTGAACTCGGGCTTTCATGGGGTGCGTTTGAATTAGCAATGTTTGCGGCGACTTTCAAAATTTAATTAATCTTGTCTTATCCTTCCAAATAAACATTTGCCACGTCCATCTTGGTGCCCTTAATAAAACTTAAGAGGTCAATTCTTCACCATTCTTTACTATGATGGAAATCATAAAAATCGCTGCTGAATTTGTGGTATGCAGTAGTACTGTATGTAGTGCGCTAAAGGCAGAAATAACGAAAGACGATGTATCTTCTACACGCACAATGTGTAAATCAAGTTTATGCGAGGAAAATGTTTCCCTGCTGAGGATCTCTATCGGACCAGGGTTCCTACTTCATTAATTATTACTCCTTATGTATACTCTGAAAATAATGTACTAAGTCACTAAGAGACAATACTTCAAGCAGCACACATGTAGCTTGGGCATGGCTTCTACCATATGAATCCCTAGCATGAGAATCAAACATTTTGAACCCCTCATTTATACCATTACAATAGATGGCAACAGCAGTACACCCTACTGTTCATTACAATAGATGGCAACAGCAGTACACCCTACTGTTCATACAAAATTGGTGTAGTTTTCAGCAATAAGTGATTCGAAGGCTCTTTGCAAAGGACAACAGTATTGATATTCTTCTATGGTGGCTTCTTGATGAGTACTAGAGTAGCTTTCACTGTACTGAAGTTCATAATCAGCGTCAAATACATTTAGCATCAGTGGTAATTCTGACTGCATTAAAAAAGGGATTGTCTTGTTAATTGAGACAAGCCTGAATACAATTGATTTCCAATATCCGTAATTAACATGAGGTCATTGGTAGAATGAATTCCTTATTTGTTATTGTAAATCAAAGAGCACAAACTCATCGCAACACATTTTTGTCCAGAATTCTGTCCAAATACCAGCCCATTACCTTGGCCATACGGGGCTGATATTGTTTTGCTGGGGTCAATGCACATTGGAGCAAGACCAGGCCTAGGGTTCTTCTCCACATCACTGCTCAGTTTAAATTTACAATAATTTGATATATGGGTCTGACTTTTGTACAGGCACATCAAACTATTACAGGTAAACAATGATAAATACCGATTTGCTCGACATTTAAGCTTCATTATCCCTCGATAAACCTTGCTAGAGCAATTAAAGAAAATTTTCTTTTCATGTCAGTGTGGGATTTTATTTAAGCTCATTCTCATAGTATTACATTCATGTTTTTTAAGTTGTCTAACCTTCACATAACAATAAAGCCTGAAAGACTTCGGTATGCTTGCACGCATACGTTTGAAGACAAACTCCTTCAGATCTCTGCTTTTGTTTCTCAGATTCCGTACTGACAATCTGTTGGGTTCTCGATCACGTTTAACCACACGACGATTCCTACGTAGGTTAACATGAGATAGCCGATTTTATATAGCATGATTTTTTATAGATGGTTCATTTGATATGAGTTATAGCATCGTTCACGATAAAAGGTTCACTCGTAATGGTTCGCTCGTAAATTAATCTCTCGTAAACGTCGCGGACCGACCCCTTCCGACATCTTTTAGTGTGGGTCTACCGCGAGAATTGTATGCGTTTGCATGTGTTTTGTGCGTGTTACCCTCCATCGTTTTCGCAATCTGCAACAAGACCTTGAGACAATCCTTCGTTACTCGTCGACCATGTGCTTTCACAAAGCATACTACAACGCATGCGCACTACATAGAATCTACGCATGCGCTATCAGCGCGACGGCGATTTGTGACTGAACGCAAAAAAGGAAATAAAAAAAGGCTGTTAGTTTCTAAAGAAACTGTTTGGGGCTGCGTCGGTGGGGGTAACGAAATAATTTGAATATATCAACAAAAAGGAAAGCCCGAGTAATGATAATGATTAAAATGATGATGGTGATGATGGTGATGATGATGATTATGACTATTATCATGATTATCGCTATTATTATAAGACCTCAGGGTGGTAATTGAAAGGATGCGGGATAGGCAAAATACTGTTATCTTGGTAGAAGTAGGAGTATGGGGGTCAATTCCACCCAACTTCCATATTTCTTGTATCAGTTGAAGACCTCGTATAGTATTGTGGTCTTTCATAAATTTTTATTGCTCGAGGCTGCAAACTTCTCACGGAAGGTGATATCGATCAGAGGCCATAGAGATCTGATGGATAAGGAATTGTATAAAAGACCAGTCATCGGGGTTAAGGAAGTGAAGTTGTTGGGATAAAAATCATGATAAAGTAATAATAATAATAATAATAATAATTATGATAATAATGAAAATAATAATATACATGGGCAAGGGGAAGTTGGACGCTCCCGCCCTCCTTGGTCTGGGGTAGCACCTTTAGAAAGTGCTAGCAACCCCTCAGCCACCCTTGTTAAGGTCTCAACTACCTTGAGGTAATAAATCATGTCGCATCATTCATCGCGCGGATTAACAAGGAATACGTCTCTTAGTGAGGAATAATGATTTTATTTAATAGTTATAGTGCTCATACTAAAATCACAAATTAGAATTATAACTACTCCTATGAATTGTATGTTTTTTTAACTTCAATCCTATCAGTTTATTGACACGGAAGTTCTTTTTGCCTGCAAGCAAGCTACGCTTCATTAATAGATTAAGGATATAATTCAATTATGAAGGAAATTTTGTATTTCACTCTACATTACCATACACAACCGACTATCCTACTTAATTTTAATTAGTGCTTCATCACCAATCTGTTCTTGTGTTATTTCTTAAAAGGCTTTGATGATTAATATTAATACAGTTGTAAATGGTTTCCACTCCATGCACGTTAGACCTATGGTTGACAATGGATCCATTTTATTTCTCACATTTACCAACACCATACACTTTTTTTTACATATCGAAGACCATCACAAATTTTGACTCTTACAAAATAGCCTTTTTGAGAGATTTTTGAGGACTTATAAAGTACTTAGGAATGCGATATCTATTCTTAAATTCTTATTCTTAGAAAGAGTAAAAGGAACGATACGATTTTTAAAGTGTAAACTGATTGACACCAGACTGATTCAAACCACCATTTTAATTGGTACTTCTGTTGAACCACGATTCAGTTTAAACGTCTTCATGTTTCTCACCATTGTGCTGTTATGAAGAGCACTTAAGTTCTCTCAAAATAATCTTGAAACGTTCATGTACCAGCTTTCTCTTTCATAATCTGGTATCCAAACTGATTGAACTAATGTTGACAGGGGATCGAGAAAGAGCAATTTCTCTTGAGCCCGCCAACTCAACATTTGTATTCAAACTTGGCTGTGACGAGGTTCTTAACTGAGTTTTCTGAAAAGGACCTCTTTTTCTTATGTAATGAGAGATTCCTCTCACTTCACTCCGCAGATTTTCGCTAAAGGCAATGAATAGCCAGGGATGAATTGCTGCGTTGGCGTGCGCAAACCAGAAGAACAGTCCTTGGACTACGTGGGGAATACTGTTGTAAATGTCGCTATAAAAGATCAACATCATGTGGGCGACATGCACAGGAAGCCAGCAAATGGCGAACACAGTAACTGCCATAAGCAGCATCTTTATAATTTCCTTGCGCTTCTTCTTTTGCCTGGTATACGCTTCTTGATTGACAGTTCCAGGAGGTCTTTGTTTCCACAAGAAAAAGGCAATTGACGAGTACAAGACCGCCATTATGAAAAGAGGTATTGCATAAGCAATGACGACTTTACCGATCATATCCGCTTCTTCGAAAGTTTGTGCGAGCTCTTCATTTTCGTGCCATTTAACGGTGCACACGCTATATTTACCTCCTTCCTCTATCAATTTATGTTTGTGGAGTTCACCACTAGATATCAAGCTTGCAAACAACCACACGATGACTATAGAGCGCATCACTGATCGAGGTGATAATGGCCTCCTTCGGATACACACAATAGCTAAATACCGGTCAGCAGCAATGACAGTGAGAGTCCAGATGGATGCACAGATGGAGGTGATTGACAAGAAAGGAGTGAGCTTGCAAAGGACGGAACCTGCCACTCCTGATATCCAGCACTCTTCACAAAAGTAAACTGGCAACGAGAAGGCAGTGGAAGTTGTCACATCCAAGAGATCAGCAACAGCCGTGTTGAAGAGAAGCCAGTTAAATGCGTTCTTTCGAATGCTGTTACGGGTGCGCACAATATGTAAAATAAGCGAGTTTCCCACCAGCGAAAACAGACAAATTAAAGCGTATGCACCGATGATAATTATCCTATTGACCTCTTTCAAGTTTTCCGCGCTGTGCTCATCGTTGGGTTCTTCTCCACCAAAAGAGGTGTTCAAATAACTTGTGTTGTTCATCGCTTTCATCTAACCGTGGCCTAAAACAAAGTATGTCGTGAATTGTGTGATCAGCTAGTTATGTGATTTCATGGAAGATGTAATATTTACTTACTAGTAGAATTTCGTTACGTGTTTTCTTAATAGATCAGAAGAGAAGTTTCTGATTTTTGTAAGACTGAAATCTTTATGATAAAGCTAACTCATTCATATCATTCTAACAGGTTTCATTTTTAGCTGTAGCGTCACACGCCATCAAGATCGCAAAAAAGAATTTGGCGAACTTCGAGCCATCCTGACCAAAAAATCTTGGCAACTAAAGCTTATAGTTTAGTACGTACGGAATGACACATGAAGTAGTGGGTTATATTTGTCTGTCTATTGCCTTCAGTGTAGGCGATAAGAAAGACTCGTCATGGTAGATTTTCAATCCTTAATTCCACTTGAACGTTTAGAGCTGGATACAGTTGCATTAAATGGTTTAAAAAGGATCTGAGAAGGGAATCTAAGTGAGAACACCTCTTCAGCTGCTTAAAATAATTGCTGAATGCCTCAGCGTATTATGCTGGTCCACAAAAGGACATTTTTCTCCATTTACAATGATATCATGAAGCTGCTTAACAAGTTTTTAATTTCTCTTTGAAAATTTTAAAGTACCATTCCAACAGAAACGTTCTGTCGTGCATTTATATCAAGATCAAAACTCACTTATTCTACCATCTCTTTGTACTTTAGCTGAAAACCGTGCTAAATTTACATTTATCCGCAAATTGGAAAAAATTCACTTAATTGATTTTAATCCCAGTTTTGTTGTAAAGAAAAACTCACCTTTAGGGTTCAGTCTTTGCCTGGAGAATGGTGCGATAGTTGTTCAGGTAATAGCTATGACGATGTACGCTTTGACTTTCTGATATTAACTCACTTTATGACTTCCTATCAACTTAAGAGTG